TGTTGTTTTTGGTCAATGATCGAGTCTTGATATTGTTGTTTTTGGTTAATGACCGAGTCTTGATATTGTTGTTTTTGGTCAATGACCGAGTCTTGATATTGTTGTTTTTGGTTAATGACCGAGTCTTGATATTGTTGTTTTTGGTCAATGACCGAGTCTTGATATTGTTGTTTTTGGTTAATGACCGAGTCTTGATATTGTTGTTTTTGGTCAAAGACCGAGTCTTGATATTGTTGTTTTTGGTTAATGACCGAGTCTTGATATTGTTGTTTTTGGTCAATGACCGAGTCTTGATATTGTTGTCTTTGGTCAATTACCGAATCTTCACATTGAGAGCAACATATATATATATTTGAAGCTAGCGATCTAGTTGTACGGTTGAAGATTGGATATGCCATGCATAACACATTTCATGAGTTGTATTTTAACATAACATTTCACGAGCTGTGGTTTAACATTGTCATATTTCACAAGTTGTAGCTTAACATAGTCACTTTTCACGATTTATGATTTACTATAGTCACTTTTCACAGGTTGTGAATTATAGTCCCTTTTTACGAGTTGTCACTTTTATATAGTCACTTTTCACAAACTATGGTTTAACATAGTCACTTTTCACGAGTTTTGGTTTTACACAGTCACTTTTCACGAGTTATTTTTTTAGTATGGTCACTTTTTTTCGAGATGTGATTTAAGATAAGTATAGAAAAGCGACTAAAGCATTCTTCTTTTTTTTAAGAAGTTAAAAATATGTATTCCATGCTCATATTTCATATATTTTAATAAGTAAGTTGGATTTTGCATGTAATTCGTTAATATGTTTTTGTAACTTATATATAGTAACGATATCCGTATTGTAATACTTTTTGGAAATATCCATTTATGTAATTATGTCAGATGTTAAACCATGGGTTTGTGTTGTGTTTAAATGGATTACGCTGCATTCTTTTTTGTTAATTCTAAATATCCATTACAAAGTTAAAACAATGTTGATTAACATAAGCCATGCTTCAGGTAATAACATTATTAAATTCCCGAAAACTAATAAAATGAATTTAAGTAATCTGTTCTTAATAAAGATGATTATATTAGAGAAATGTGCTTTTAAAACCTGAAATATACATTCTGATTCTGCCTTGCAAAATTGCGAAGGTATTTCTTAAAATAAAACAAATATAACTGTTTTAAATCTAAATACAATAATTTTAGATTAATGTATATGAATTTACAGTTTGGCTCGTATATTTCAAAATAGGTACAAATAATTACATATTGACAGGATTCCGAGTGAATTTTTATCCTTACAGAAACGGAGTTTCAAGTTTTTCTAGTTCTGGCAGAGAGCTGCAACTTCATGAGCCTATACGTTGAGCCGATTTTGATACAACATTGTTATTAACCAACACATCTCTTGATTAAGCTATTAATTTATTAACAGACGTGATTTGAAGATAGTAAAATAGATAGTTTTGTTTATTAAATTGTGTTGATTTTATTCCGAATAGTCTCATTTTTCGTTTAATTATAAATCATGATTTCGAAAAGATATTTGTAAATTGATTTAATAGAAGTTTTCAAGTAATATCTAACTTGTTTAACCCTTAGTTTTGTCAAATATAAAAAAATGGTAAGTTTACAAACAGACCGTTTCTTAAAACAACATGTAAAAATGCTTGATTATCAAAATTTACATTTTATTATACAATTTTTATATCATATGGAAGTAAAAATAAACAATTTTCAAATTTATGTAAAAATTATTAATAATTAACGAATTAAAAGTTATTTACTTAATTTCTAGTTTACATTTGTATGAATAACTTCTCCAGGAAAACGAAAATGCTTAAAAACAAACGCAGAACTTCTGAGCTAAGCCTCTCCTAATGGGTAATGTGCCATTGGGGCTGCGATTCAAAAATGCCAAAGGTTTGAATCGGGATGTGTTGCTGAATACAACCAACACTTTCAGCTACGGGGGATTTATAATTATGATAGCAAATCTTGCTATTTGGCCAAAAGTAGCTACATGAGTAGCTGATGATGATGACTGCTTTATTCTTACAGCCGGAAGCTTTAAATTAGGGATGGTTATGATTGAACCTATGATCTGGCTGTTTAACGCCGAAATATAAAATTGCATTATATATAATGTTCACTTTGTTTCATTAGCCTTAAACGTTCATTGAGAAAAGATGTTTGCATATAACTACTATACAAGTAAAAATAATTGTGTTTACGGAACCATTTATATACAAATGAAAAACGAACTGATATTTTACCAATTAATTTGCTCAATCTATTGTTTGCTTGTAATTAAGCACAAAGCTACACAATGGGCTATCTGTGCTCTGCCCACAACGGGTATCAAAACCCGGATTCTAGCGTTGTAAGTCCGCAGACATACCTCTGTGCCACTGGGGGGGGGGGGTAATTTGCTCAAAGTGAACATATTGCCGTAACAGAACTTTAGGTTTAGGTTTTTGCAAAATACGAAGTTTGTTTGTCTGCTTATCTGTTAATCACAAAACTAAACAATGGGCTAGCTGTGCTGTGCCCACCACGCGTATCGAAACCCGGTTTATAGTGTTATAAGCCTACAAAGCCTTTGGGGAGGGACACCCTACATACTATAGTACTGTATATATCTATATAACTAGCGTGTGAAAGTTTTTAGAAAATAATCTTATTTTCCCAAAGTTTATATAAATACAAATAAAATATATTTATCTCAGGAAGTTTACACATTTTAAATCAAGTAAAATATATTCGCAGGTTTTTTCAGCATCTTCGTAAATGAAATCCAACTAACTCTACTTATAACTAATCTATATTCTGAAACATTGTGGTTCGAAATATCTTTAATCAATGGTTACTTCGACTCGTTCCAGCTTCATTTAAAACGGTTTATTTTTATTAGAGTTTCAATGATATAAGACAAGTGTAGATGCTTACAAAGTACACTTATGGCGACAGATGACGTCAAAGGCTTAGAAAGCGCTAAATGGTCAGCTTCACACATATACGTTGCTTCGTCATCATCCATTTTGGGATATAACGTCAAAGTGCTTAAAACTGTATCAAGTTTCCCCGTTCCTTTTCGAATGAATATCTTTGCAGCTCCTGTATACCATTAAAGGATAAACAAAAATGTGTTAAAATAAGGTAAATAGTTTTACTTGCACAGTGTTATTATTCACCTTCACATTAATCAAATACACGTGTTAGAATACGGATAAAAGGCAGGTGGGTCTTTTATACAGTAATAGTTATAATTTATATAAACGTATTAACACTTGTCATTACACATGAGTTATGTAATCAAGTAGAAATCATCTAACTTTACACACTAACTATCAGTTATAGTAGAGATTATACGATTTATACAACCATTAAATATATATATAAGGACAAATATTCGTCTTTCAACAAAATGTTGCGCAATAGGCTATTTGCCATGTGCTCGCCACAGGGATCGACCTCTGAACTTAAAAAGTCATCACGCTGAGGCACGAGAGGCAGGTAGAAATCATCACTACTGCTCTTGGATTAGAATGAATGATTCTGATATCCTTTTTCTAGACGGGACTTAATGGATTAAAATCAAAATTTACGACATAGGTCGTTTTACACGTCGCTGATTTAAATTACAGATATTTTTCGTAAATTATATAGTGATATGAGAAGGTGTTAATCAAATAACTGCAACTTGTTACTATTTTTAAACGCATAGAATGACAAAAATAGCAAATTATAATGGCAGCTCAAAATGTTAGTCTTTTAATTTTATTATTCGTTACAAAATAAAGACAAGGTGCGATTAAATGACGTATGAAAACACATTGTTCCAAAATAAGAATTTGGGCTTTCTATATCATATCATTCATAATTAAGTTAATCGAATTCATAAATCAAACAAGAAAGATAGACCATAAGAAACCTTATTATACTTCATATACAGAGGCTTAAATCCGTAGCATGGAAATATATTTTCAAAGCGTATCAAAATAACGTATAAGTATATTCACTGTCATATGTGGTTGGTATTCTCCATAAACAATTACCCTAACGTACAGATACATATCTTCATCAAACTCATTAGAATTAAAGCTCTGATTGGATATCTACATTATAACTTCGAAGAAGATTGGTTATTCTTTACAATCGCGTTTCCAGTGAGATGCAGCTTCGAGTTGAATAAGATCAGAACAAGTAAATATAGACAGAAAATACCACACTCACCAGGTATTAGTTCCATTCTGTTTCGATACCACTTTAAACGAGATGGTGGTTTACTGCGATGAGCACTGCACGTTAAATTCACACGTTCTCCCTCTTTTATTCGAAGTATTGCGTGCCCTGGTCTGCCATTAATTGTAAGTTGATTCGGAGGAACTGGTTTAATGAAGAGAAAGTACAAGGATTCAGAATGCAAACCTACACGAAAGTGGACTCCGTATTTGAAAAATCTGAAGAAATGTAATATCGATTTATCTGCCTGTCTGTCTACTGCAATTATAGTTCAACCTTTAGTGGGAGGAACCATTGATTTATTTGTAATATTCTTGGATTAATTGATGCAATAAATCTATGAGGTAATCGCTTTTCATGAAAGAAAAAAAAATAAGGCTAGAAATATATGTAATATCTATGCTTTTCGCGTATTTCAAGAAGCTTTAGGAATATTTAACTTAAATAAATAGGTACATTAATTATTTTTCAGTGTACCAAACAACCACAATTTATCAGATTCTGTCATAGTTAAAACAAAGTACATGTATAATGCAGGTGTTACCTAATACTGTCAGTTCTGCTCCAGCTCTGATTGGTCCTTCGTCAGGAGCTGGTCCAACCTGACACACAAAGAAAAATTTGTAACATCTTATCAAATTCTGAAATTTACCCACGAAAATGTGACTTTTCTTCCGGTATTGTCGTTTAACTTACTTAGTTTATACAAAATAGTCCAATCCTACAATCATGATTTTAGAAAAGCACGTAACTTCAAGAAGTCTTGATAGAAATGAATAAAAACCTTATAACACGAGCAATCGGGTTGTAGGTTTTTATTCATGTCCAATCCTACAATGATATTAAATGGCTATCGACAAAGACTGAAATACAATTTGTATTAATTTTGATAAACCCTGTAATGATAGAATGGACAAATAACGAATATAATTCAGGAGTTTCAATTTCGAAATGAAATCAATCATTTGTAGTAGAAATATCCATCTTCTTTCTATAAAAGGTAATGAAGCAAATTAAATAAAATCTAATGAGGAACGAACGCTCAAGTATGAATTTTATCACATTTGATCAACAGGTCTAGACTTAATGATTACCAAACTGACATTGGAAAGCTGGAAATCCTTAGAAAATAGGGCTTTCCATCTTCAGATGCAGAAAAAAAAGAGTTCATTCGTTGAAAGCGCTCCAGCTTCTGCTCCATTTTCAATATATTTAACAATTTTTATTGGGCTTTCCATCTATAGATGCAGAAAAACAAAAGAGTTCATTCTTTGAAAGCGCTCCAGCTTCTGCATTATTTTCAATATATCAAACAAATTTTATTAGGCTTTCCTTCTTCAGATTCAGAACAAATAGAGTTCATTTTTTGAAAGCGCTCCAACTTTTCTGATTATCTGTGCTACTGTTTAATTATGTCTCTTTTTTTGCCGTAAGCCTAATATCAAAAATTACATGGGTTTTATTTGCGAAGGTATAATTAAATTGATACAACAGGTGAAACACTAATGGGAAAGGTGCGTTTTTAATGAGAGAGATATTAATATCAGGATTACATTAAACCTAAACGAAATATTTTGAGTAAGAACATGTACAGTTACATACAACAGATATTCACATAGTTATATCTTATAACCTATTGTTATTTGTAGCATTTCAAATAGTAATAAAATATCTGAAAACTGAGGTTATAATTACTTTAAATCTTTTACAAGTGACTCTCTACTCGGATATATTTTTGACGTCTTATAATATGTACTATTCCGCTTGAAGAAGCATACATGTTTCTTTTGTTTTTACCCAAAAACTATACAATAGGCTATCTGCGCTCAATACACTGCAGGGAATCGAACCCCGGATATTTGATGTTGGAAGCCCGTAAACTTACCACTATTTTATTGGTGGACAGAAAGCATACAATTGCGTGTAGTTTCAGTATATATGTGTGTGTGTGTATTATAAGATACTTTATTAATATCTGCGTTATTTTGAGAACCAAATAAAATAAACAAAATATTTCATATGAATCGAGAAATTATAAATACTAACTTTATGTTTACCGTATTAAATGTTGCTTCTGCTATGATCTTCATTCGACCAGTTTATAGGTTTGTTTGTTTTTGGAATTTCGCGCAAAGCTACACGAGGGCTATCTGCGCTAGCCACCCCTAATTTAGCAGTGTAAGACTAGAGGGAAGGCAGCTAGTCATCACCACCCACCGCCAACTCTTGGGTTACTCTTTTACTAACGAGTAGTGGGATTGACCATCACATTATAACGCCCCCACGGATGAAAGGGCGAGCATGTTTGGTGGGATGGGGATGCGAACCCGCGACCCGCAGATTGCGAGTCGAGCGTCCTAACCACCTGGCCATGACAATGTTATCCAATTTTAATGACGAAGAACAGTGAGTAATAAAGTCTAGAGACAATTTGAATAGATAACTAAGGAAACTTTATTACAAGTTTAAACACAGTACTAAATGTATAACCTTTCGACAAGGTATTGTCATGATCAGGTAGAAACATTTTACATAAACACACGAATATATAAACAGATATACCCATAGCGTCAAAGCGCTTAATCCTGTATCAAGTTTCTCTATTCCTTCGACACAACGGGTATATATTAATACATTCCTGTATCTATGTAAACTACTTGTATCTGATGATGACATAATCTTGTCGAAACGTTGTACATTTGTTACTGTGCTATCCAAACTTTATTAGTGCTTAATGTTGACCTTATGTTCTGATGTCATGGCCGGGTATTATAAGTTTTATCGAGAACATGCTAGAGAATACTTAATTTACTGTAAATAAATATTTCGTAATAAAATAAAACACAATTATCTTATTTATAGTAAAAGCTACAGAAACGATTGGCATGAAAAAGACACTTTATTCTCCTATTTTTCTCCATCATTGTTTCATCTGGTTGTTTCGGATAATTGTGCAGAGATGAACAACACTTCTTTGTTATACAATAAAATACAATTAGCTGATTTATAGTAAAAGCTACAGAAACAAACGTGTACGATTGGCATGAAAATGACACTTTATTCTCCTTCTATTTTTCTCCATCATTGTTTCATCTGGTTGTTTCGGATAATCGTGCAGAGATGAACAACACTTATTTGTTATAGCCGTCTCTAATTTGGAACCGGTGAAACTAGAGGAAAGGTAGCTAATCAAGATCACTCACCGCCAATTCTTGGACTACTCTAATCTAAGAGTGGAATTTGACCTTTTTTTTCTATAACGCATCTATGTCTTCAAAGAATGGAGCACGATCGTACAATATGGGAAGCGAACCATGGATCCTCGGTTTCGTAGTCAGGCAAATATTAGATCGCGCCCGGCCAAATTATTTTGTCTGGAACGCTAAACATCTCCAAAACATTCATATATCTGGACATTTTAACGCTTACACTGAAGCTTCATTCCACGATTAACCTGTAAACCAATAGATAACGCATGATCGACATAATTTACAATATCTATGGTTTCTGTATCAAATTAATAGTTTTAGTGTAACTAGAGCAGCGGAAATATTGCTGTCACTTATGTGTGTATGTGTGAACTTTATAAATCGAACATTTTTTATCTGATTTAATCACATTTGGAACAAAAATTGACTGTCATCCAAGGACCAGTTATTTGTCTTTTGTCAAAGGGCAAGGTCACACTGAAGATTCAACCATATACCTCAAAACGTTTCTATCTGATTTTGATTACATTTCGTACAAAGGTCGAATGTTATCCTTGAACCAAACTCTGAAGTTATGGCGAATGTAACTCCAAGTTCAAGGTCGCAGTGAAGGTCAACCGCTTTCGTTATAATGTATGCAAATTAGGATTTCAAAAACGGTTACAACTGGAGAACAAGTTTAGATAAAAAGAGGTTCTTGGAATTTAAACCTTTTGATGTTCATTTTAGATTGGTTACTGCAAAAATGGTAAAACTTGGTTGCGGGGATAGAACTCTATTAAATTCGTTCTAGTTTATACTTAGTTTACTTTCGTCTGTACTTAGATGAGATTTCTCGTTCAATACTCTCTACTGGCACGTTTTTCAAGAGACTTCACCAAGTAAACTTATATGCCAAATGCGAGTAAAACACGGTTCTTTGTTTTTCATTTCGAGTTAACTATGTGAGTCTACACACACACACACACAAATGTAGAAACACAGTTAAACATTCTCTAACATAATGACATCGTTCTTCCATTTTTGTAATAAAATGGTTTTGAATACATTCTATAATACCAATGGTTTTGAATACCTTTTATGATACCAGAACTGACCTGACATTGATAGTTCCCTTCATCTTCTAACATTGTTTTGGATATTCGGAGGTTGTATATCCCTTCTCCTTTGTCTATCATCATTGAATACCTTCTAAAGCCAGGAATTGCAGGGTCAAATCCTGTCACGATAAACATACTAAGTTCAATGCTTTTTTTCTAGAAATACTTCATTTATCTCAGAACAAATGACTTGCAGACTGGAATTGGAATATTTTGATCTATTACAACAATTCTGAATAATCAAACACATTTTTAATCTGCCACAATAATCCCGATTCATCAAACACATTTTTAATCTACCACAATAATCCCGATTGATCAAACACATTTTTAATCTGCCACGATAATCCAGATTCATCAAACACATTTTAATCTACCATAATAATCTCAATTCATCCAACACATTTTTAATCTACCACAATAATCTCAATTCATCAAACACATTTTAAATCTACCATAATAATTCCGATTGATCAAACACATTTTAAATCTACCACAATAATCCCGATTCATCTAACACATTTTAATCTACCATAATATTTCCGATTGATCAAACACATTTTTAATCTACCACAATAATCCCGATTCATCAAACACATTTTTAATCTACCACAATAATCCCGATTCATTAAAACACATTCTTTGTATTCAAAGCAATCGGTGGACATATACACTCGTGAGTAAACTATCTCCACAAATTCCAAATTTGATTATACTATATTCATATATAAAAATATCCAAACATTAAAACAGCAGACTGGATAACAGTTTTTGTTCTTCTTGTATTTCAAATTTTGTCTTATGTAATGATTAGTTATTATAAGTAGGTTCTTACGAACTTTTTGAATTCAACTTTACGTTGCTGAAACACTTGGCATATGTATATATTATTGACGGATCTATTAAGTGACATAAATCCCAACGTGATATTGTTGTTTTTTCTATTTTCATGTGTATTGGTACAACAATAAAAATTCACACACTGCTAGTGATATTATGATATTGTTTTTTTTCTATTTTCATGTGTATTGGTACAACAGTAAAAATTCACACACTGCTAGTGATATTATGATATTGTTTTTTTTCTATTTTCATGTGTATTGGTACAACAGTAACAATTCACACACTGCTAGTGATATTATGATATTGTTTTTTTTTCTATTTTCATGTGTATTGGTACAACAATAAAAATTCACACACTACTAGTGATATTATTTTGAGTCAGAAGGTTCATGTAAGAGATACTACGAATCTGCTTCTCAAGTAATTATCTTCATCGCATTGGTTTTGATCTTTAATTAAAACAAAAGCCTTAAAATCCAATGAGCCGCAATCTTTCAAATATAAACCTTATCACATTTCGTCAACAGGTCAAGACTTCATGACTACTCTACTCTCTACTCTCAGAAGCTTCTGAGTCGTTTTCAGTATCTTTAAAAATATAAATCGGCATATAAATCGACCCATAAGCTTATGTTTTTCTTCAATTATAAATTGTTACCTTAGTAACATATAAATCGACCCATAAGCTTATGTTTTTCTTCAATTATAAATTGTTACCTTAGTAACATATAAATCGACCCATAAGCTTATGTTTTTCAGTTATAAAATGTTACCTTAGTAACATTTAAATCGACCCATAAGCTTGTGTTTTTCTTTAATTATAGTTTTTAGATTAACATTTAACTATGAAGAAAAAGGAAACCAACCAGTATAGAAAAGCATAAGCTATGTATTAAAATTATACACTTCATATAGGATGACTAATTGTTTGTTTTTTTAGTATATTTTCACTTCTCAGAATAGTTAATATCTATTAGCTTTAGTTAATATTTAACGACACGTATCTGTATATCATAAAAAAGCGATATTGGGAAGACAATAAATATCAAACATAAAAACAAAATCGCAATTTTATCTTATATGCAACAAAGCAAAAGATCCACAAGTGTAGAAACTATTTCAGAACTTTGCATCAACAGAAGATACTCACCTCAGACACGTTCAGTTTCTAAGATCGATTGCTATTAACTGTTTTCAGTTCGTATGTGTTTTTCTCTATTTATATCACAATATAATGCCATTTATGTAAATGTGTTATTACATCCCAACACCGAAAATACGACAATGACTGTTTGTCTTTGTCTAATGTAAGCCAATATTCATTCGTTTGATTTTGCACATATCTACTCGAGGGCATCCTACGATAGTCTTCATTAATGTTGAAGGTAGCTAGACAAAATCATTCATCATCAACAATTGGCAGATACTATTGTCAGCCTGAATAGCGGGATCTGATTGTCACTCTTTTAACACACCCATGGTCCCATGGTAACGGGACACGAATCAGAGTCCAACACGATCGCCCATAAGTCAATAACCATTGGATATTGATTATTAGCATGGTGTGTTAAGGGTTAGCATACTGCTAAATAATATCAAGGAAACTAAAAACATCATTGAATATTGATGATTAATTTCTTGTGTTAAGAGTTAGTATGCTGCTAAAAACTAAAAATTTCACAAAATTGAAAGAAATCCAAACCAATCTCTGAGTTATAGACGAAAAAACTTCAAACTACACCAATGAATTTTGACTAACTACTTTCTTAAAGACCTAACAACTCTATCTGTTTTGCATAAATCAGGATAAAAAGCCTCCAGGAAAAACAAACAATACGTGTTAACCTCTGTCCTCTTAACACACACACACACACACACACACAATATATATATATGTGTAGCAACCTTAATTTCTAAGTTTAAAACCAGGTAATTATGGAACTCTTTTATAATTTTGCGTTTCTCATGCAATGTATTTCTTAAAATTCTCTTCCTTCCCAAAAAATGAAATTAGACTGTTGAAATTCCGAACGGCTACGGTTATGTCGAAATAATTAGAAGTTATAAAAGTTACAAGTAACAAGTAACAGCAATGACTACAGCAATTAATGTAAACATGTGCTTATATTTACATGTAAAATATTTTTACAGAAAATATT